TGAGAATTGTCAAGCGCTTGCCGTGAACTCAGTAGATTTGAATTTCAGCAAATTCCTTGTCCTCGGCACAGAATACGAAATAGTCATTTGAGGCACTTCGAAATTTTTACCTCGCGAAAGACTATGTACATACACGGCAGTCTAAATTTCTTGAGAAAATGAAATATATAACAACCACTATCACAGACAGGGAAATGTTTTGCAGGGAAATGTCAAACACTGAGCTTGATCGGCGGTTTCAAAATCGGGGAAATACGATGCCCGGCACTCATAATTTTGAACTGAAAACAACTAACACTCTACGCTTTGCTTCTGGATCGCTTGGTTTCAAGAACGAAAGAGTGTTCACTTCTGGATTCGTAGTCGTTTCATTTCATGAAATTAGAAAAGCGCTTGAAAGGAAGAATATTTTCAGTCATGTGTTTGCCTTATCGTACTTGTTTATTTCATTTTCTCGACTACGAGAAGTTTAGACTGCCGGGCATAGAGAACTTAGCCTCAAATGACTAATGGCTGTTTTGCGTATTTTGTGCCGATGTCAAAGAATTTGCTGAAATTCCAGCCCTATTACTAGTAAACTGAGTTCACAGCAAGCGCTTGACATTTCTCAATAAATATATAGCGGTATGGTTTATTCTGTCTTAGTGCATTTGGCACGCTTGATTTTGACAAAGTCGAGCCACTTCTTCTGTCTCTTTCTTGCTTCGGGTCGTCGAAAAGGTATAACTTGATAACTTGAAGGTCGATTCCCTTCGAAATATCTGGCCTGTTACTGCAGCCACCAAAAACACAATATATATTCGCTATACGGGGACGTGCCGCCAACCAGGGTATCGTTTTCAGCGATTTTACTCTGGAACTGGGTATCGTTTTTAGCGATTTTACTCTGGAACAGGGWATYGATTTCAAYGAATTTTCTCTGGAACAGGATCAGGGTTGAATTCCGGAATTATTGATGCTGGATAAAAATTCATRGGTAAAAATTCGGTCTACACGCAARCTAGTGCAGGATTTTGCTCTGGAACAGAATATCGTTTTCAGCGATTTTACTCTGGAACAGGGTATAGTTTTCAGCGATTTCACTCTGGAACAGTGTCAGGGTTTTGAGGTCCCAGCGGCACACCCCCACCCAAGTTTCTCCCGGTATGGAGACCAAAAAAAGAGCTCAAAGTGGACATTTTCCTATGTTTGTAAACTCACCAAAAATTCGTTTTTTTMTAAAAATGAAAAATTCTTTCACAGATATGTTTCCATTAACCTCAATTTTCATTTTAAAGATTATAAAARAAATCGTGAAGGTGCACTTTAAGTACCGCATGATGTTGTCTTTCCTCGATGAATTTCCACCAAACTCTGGATATAGTTAGGCAATACCTCTAATATTATGTCCCTAAGATATCGCGGAAAAAAATAGGCTTAATTTGTTTGAAATAGCTGTAAAAGCGTTTTTCTGGATTTCCCCATAAAACGCATAAATTTCGCATGAATTTGAATCCCTTGTTAATCATGTAGTAAAATATTATTACGATCTGACCAACTTAAATTACTTTTTGACCCGTTTCTTTCGTCCCAGTCGGTGTTCTAAACTACTGTATCCAGATACCTTAAACCAAGCTGAAGTCTCTACCATTATCGTCCTCCAACATCTACGCCGCAACCATCAAAACTGCAATTATACTGACATCCATCAAAGAGTAAGTATTTGATAACACGTTAATCCTGGTACAGTGAAACAGTATTTCTACTATTTCTACGGCATTTCTTATGAAAATATTACCCGGTCCAAGACACACACAAAAAATTATATCGGTATTTATCTAAACTGTAGAGCCTGTTTAAGACAATTCCGGGTGAAATGTATACCCTATTTCGCCGGTAAAGTCACGGGTCGTTCCCTGGTAGCGGAAAAACAACAACATTACTCTCAATTTCTAGCGCTTTTAGTCMACAGATTTTCGTTGTCGGTAATCTGCATCCCGATATTTGAAGTCAACGTAAAAGATAACCAGGAAGATTTTAAAGAAAAAAGAKCAAAAAAACCTCGTTTTGCAGAAGTCTTATAGAAGCTACAACAACAAGCTCTCTTCATCTCAACTACACCAATGCAGAAGTACATAACCAGAAGTGTCCATCTCCCCAATAATATCGACACCATCAGATRTCCCGATAATCTATTTTTAGACAACCAATCACAACGCGCGCACAT